GTATAGGTTTTCCAAGGAGCAGCTGGTGGATTTGAACTGCCAACTTCTTGGTTAGCAGCCAAGCTCTTAACCACTGCGCCTCCTGGGCTCCTTTTCAGGTTACCGGTTGCCGTTGAGTGAACTCCAACTCATAGTTACTGTATAGGACAGAGTAAATCTGCCCCATAAGGTGTGTGTGTGCATGTATTTGTGTATGGAGAGAGAGAGAAAGAGGGATTTATATCAAGGAAATGGCTCATGCGATTGTAGAGGCTGGCAAGTCCGAAGGCCGTGGGTCAGGTATCAGACTGGAGGCTTCTTCTGACTCATGTAGCTTCAGACTGATGAACTCAAGATCGGCAGGTCAGACAACAAGCCGCTGGCTCATGGGCTGCAGAGGCTGACAAATGCAAGATTGGCAGGTAAGATGGCAGGCTGCTGGCTCACAGGCTGTGTAAGCCAATAAATCCTAAGATCAGCAAGTGTGACGGGAGGCCGCTGGCTCAAGTGTCAAGAACCAGAGGTCAGATGATGATGAGCCCAATGCAGGATTGGGCTTTGCCAGAATGTCTATGTATATATTAGGTTCAGGCCAGATGCATAAGGAAACTCCCCTTACAACTGATGGACTTACCACATCAGATCGCATTATGGAAGATGACTATACCATTACATAACTGCCAAATTACATTATTACATAACTGCCAAACCACTGAGAATCATGGCCAGCCACGTTGACACATAACTTTAACCATCACAGTCTACCCCTTGTCAGCTTGGCACCAGTACACATCTCCCTAAAGCATACACAATCTGTAAATAAAGACAGTTACAAAGTCATACATGAACCTAACATGATACAACTAACGTGTAAAACTGAAAATGCACTAGCCTCATTTGCATCTCAAGTTTTATAAGTAAGGAAAACAAAAATATTTGATTCACACATACAAGGAAGAAATACTCATAACAATTACATTCCTTCATTTCTGCAACTTGTCACGTGGTTGGGACTGGTATTCAGAACTACCCTCTTCCGCTGCCCATTCTGTATTTCCTTTGCGCTCAGCAAGCACCTCAGCAGGTTGTGGTTCTTTGCCTTGTAGGGGGACCCAGACCTTCATTCTTGAAGGGTCTGGGCCATTAGTAGTCACGTTGGAATTGGGTTGCTGTAGTTTTCCATTGACTTTAATCACAGGGCATGGTAGTACTAAGAGACAACCTAAGGGATCTCCTGTATTCCAGACATACCTTTTTTTACTTCCATTATGTAACATCAGTTGGATTTCCCCTTGGTAGTCAGAGTCATTAATACCAGCCAATATGGTAACTCCCTTCTTTGCCTGTTGATTCAGAGGCATGAGGAGCCCAAAGTGGCCAGGTAGCATTCTTAACTTCTAGTTCAGTGGAATCCATGTTGTGTCTCCAGGTGGGAGAATTTCTCCCTTTGGAACTAAGACCTCTAGACCTGCAGTGCACAGAGTCACGGGGACAGGAACGAAAAATTTTGCAAGTAGGTCACAAGGGGTAATAGTGAGTGGTGCCACTCACATCTCCACCCATTGACTTCTTGAACTGTTAAGTCCTAGCTATGGGAGAAGCAGCACGATATATATTGGATGCTGATTTAGAGCATATTGAGCGTCCTGGACATGGCCCCAACCCTGCAAAGTGTTGCCACTTAGCTAGCATTGTAATTGTCTCTTTAGAAGGCCATTCCATCGTTCTACCTAGCCAGCTGCTTCAGTATGATGGGGAACATGGTAGGATCGGTGAATTTCACGAGCATGTGACTGTTGCCGTAGTTCATTTGCTGTGAAGTGGGTCCCTTGATCTGAGGCAATGCTATGTGGTATACCATGACAGTGGATAAGGCATTCTGTGAGTCCATGCATGGTACTTTTGGCAGGGAAGGCAAATCCATATGCACACTAAGTGTCCTTAATGGTGGCAGTAATCTCTGCAATACCTCCAGGAATGTGGTATTGCTTTTGGTTTACTATTTTCCTAGGTAGGGGCAGTTTTAATTGCTTCCACTACCGTAATAGCCCTTATTCCACTTTTCAGAGATCCAGTGTGGGAGTTCTGCCAGTTTCTGACTGTTGTCTATTCCAATTGTGCATTCTGGAACTGGGGAAATCACTACAGGATGGGTTTGGGGACCCCCTAGACCCAC